AAGTCAGATATGACGAAAAGACAAGTTGAACTTTGATAAGTAAAAATTTATCTAACTCCTTGAATCTGTAGAAATTTCGACAGCGCTTCGCGTAGGAAAAATAGCTTACCAGAATTTATACAGGTCCAAGTATAGTAATGAGCCTCAGAAAATGCAAGAGTCGATCTAAGTAAAATAAAGTCAGCTCAGAAAATGCATAAATCGACCTAATTCCTATCGCTCTAGCACGTGGCGAGCCTCTAAAGCAACTACCTATCAACCTGCAACCCAGACCAAGTAGCAATCCCACTCAGCCACATGCAGGCCAAACCACAAAGGTAAGTACCCTCACCATCCCCAAGCCAATCTGAGTAAACAATAGTTCATGATCTTTCAGTGACTTATTTCCTCATACCCAACTTACATAAGGCATAGGTCAGGGCACGTGAACTTACAGAGCTCGCCCAACTTACCCAGGCCCAAAGTCAGAATAACTAAACTTATAGAGCGTTCTGACTTCACCAGGTATACACAAACAGAGGGCACAACTACTTTTCTCTTCTTTGGGCGTACGACTAGATCACTCTAGTCGCCCTGAACTGTTTAAATAGCTAACTTATATATACCTCTCTAAACTTAGTCTTGAAAGGGACATAAGGCTGAGCAGTTCAACTTAGAACATTGCCCAGCCCGCCCACGTTAATCCTCAGTTATGTCTCTTAATTATATTTTCTCCAATTGTGATAAGTTATAGTCAGGCTACCTAAACTTATAGAGCGGCCCGACTAGCCTGTTTATAATAGCATAGTAATATAATATAGCCAGGTTATATCCCTTGGGTTCCAACATGTGCGAGGCATTGGGTCAGACCACCTAAGCTTACAGAGCGGTCTGATCCTCAGCCAGGTTTGTTTCTCTCTGATCCAATATGTGCGAGGCAGTAGGGTAGGCTACCTAAACTTATAGAGCGGCCTGCCCCCTGCCAGAATTATTCCCTCAAAACAAAACAGGAGAAGGGTTGAACCACCTAAACTTTTAGAGCGGTTCAAACCTCCTCGTTCAGAATCAAATAAGCTGAGAGAACCCCAAACAAAATGAGGCAACCTAAGGTACCTAAACTTATAGAGCGCCTTGGGTCCCTAAAAGTCACTCACAATCAAACTCCCACAGGTCTAAGCAACCAGGACACCTAAACTTATAGAGCGTTCCGACCCTCCATGCAATTCACAGCACCAGGTCTTCCCAAACTTATGGGGACATCCCAGCGTCCAGAGCTTCAGGCTACCTAAACTTATAGAGCGGCCTGAGGCTCCATGCAAACAAAAAATAAACAAAGCGTTGGGCTTCCCCAAACTGAAGGGGACCTCCCAGCCTTAATGACCCAGTCAATCTACACACAATGTCGCCTTCCTCCCAACCTCCCCCCCTGGATGCAACCCATTTTATTCACAATCGGCTTTCAGGCAATCAATAAACTGAAACAGAGACTTGCTCATACATTCCTTTACCTTAGTGTGACTTATGTCCTGAAAGTCAAACTCAGAACCAAATACAGGATCCACACAATACACTTTGTCAAACATAGAGAGATGTACAGGTAGGGGTTATAGTTGGGTTTATAAAGGGAGTCAAGGAATTACCCCTCAGTTTCCTGCCTCGAGGACTCCGCCTGAGTCCCGGCAGAGCTCTCGCAATCGGTGAGGCCAACCTCCCACAAAGGCCTTGGCGCGGTTTACGGGCCACACGTCCTCCTGCCGCCTTCCTCTCAGAGCCAAAGGACCAGACTTTAGAGGGAGAAGGACAGGATAAGAAGAAGTACGACTCTTAGACTCAGGAAGGACACACTCAGACTCACGCGAGAGGGTCTTCAAATCTTCGGCGCCTAAGGGCCCCGCAATGGCAGCCAATGTGACAGCTTGGTCAAGCTGACGCTGAACCGATGAACCAGGACACCCCGGGCGAACCTTTACCCCACAACAGCCCCCTTCATACTTCAATCATCCTTCTGAATTCCAACGTTCCTCGCCCCTAGCCTTTTCACTCGGCAGCGACAAGCGTATGAGATAGCAGGTAAGCATACAGTCTCTGTGGTCCGCTTCACTTCCCATGTTGCCGATAAGTTGGGCAACCCAGGAGCTACCTGACAAGCCTTCTGGCCCACTGCCTCGCTCCTCCCTACTCTCCTCTTATCCCCCCCATTCCTGGCCGTCTACAGGCCAACAACACCGCGTCCGTGAACACGAGCGGGAGAATAACCACACTCAGCGTGAGCAAACTACAGACGGGGCATCGGTCGAGAAGGAGGCCACAACGACGGCAGTCCTCACCATGATTGCGCCCCACCCACTCACCAAGCATACAAGATGGGAAAGAGTCTTTACTTCGAATAGGGGCAGGTACCTACTGTGTGCGCTGGCACATACGCCGTGAGCTATACGAGGTAAATACCTCCGTTTTCTGCACCCGGCGCCGCTTCACGTCCGTATTCACTCCAATTCTCTCCTCACTGCCCGTGCCCTTCTTCACTCCCGTCAGCTTCACCCTCGTTTCCCCTACTCCGTCGCGGCACAGCCCGACAGCATTTGAGTGCTACGAGACGAAAGAAAAAAAGTCAATCGCTGTCGGACTCTCCTCTTCCGACTTTTATATATGCCTTCCCTGCGCAGGGGTCATGCTAAT